TATATTTTATCCACTCTGTCACTCTTTGTCTTTTAATTGGTGTATTTAGACCATTTACATTTAAAGTGATTATTGATAGAGTTCATTATCTCTCCATACAAACTGTTTTTTGTTTGTTGCTCTTGGTCTTTGCTTTCTTTTTTGTCTTCCCTTCTTTTGCTGCCTTTTCTGGTTTTAACTGAGCATTTAATATGTTTTGACTTTCTTTCCTCTCTCAGCATATCAATTATAATTCTTTTTTAAAAATTTAGAAATTTTCCTAGAGTTTGCAGTATACATTTACAACTAATCTAAATTCACTTATAAATAACACTGTGCCACTTCACAGGTAGCGCAGGTCTTGTATAAAAGACTTCCCAATGCCTCTTTCCTGTCCTTTAAATCGTTGCTGTCATTCATTTCATTTATTCATTAGCTAAAATCAACCAATATGTTATTGCTATTATTTGAACAGTTATCTATTACTTCAATTAAGAATATGAAAAATAAAATATTTAATTTTACCTTCATTTATTCCTTTTAATGTCTTTCCTTCATGTCAATGCAAGCTTCTTTCTCTGAAGAACTGCTCTTAATATGTATTCCAAGGCAGGCCTACTGGTTACAAGTTTCCTCAGTTTTTGCTTGACTGAGAAAGTGTGTTTATTTCCCCTTACTTTTAAAAGATAATTAAACTGAATGCAAAATTCTCTGTTGATGGATTTTTCTTTTAACATTTTAAATATTTTGCTGCACTCTCTTCATGCTTGCATGGTTTCTGAGAATTCTGATGTAATTTACATCCTTGATCCTTTAAAAGCAAGGTGTTAGTTTTTCCTTGAACTTCTGTCACTGTTTTCTTCATGTCTGATTTTTTGCAATTTGCATATGATATGCTTACATGTAGATTTTTAAAATATATTTTGTATTCGTCCTGCTTGGTGTTCTCTGAGCTTCCTGGATCTGTAGTTAGTGTCTACCATAAATTTTGGAAAATTTTCAGTTTTTATTGTTATGGTCTGAGTAACTCTCAGTTACTTACCCTTGATACTGATAAATCAAAGGGCAGGAAACTAGTAGGACTTTATTTCTGAGTTTGAATTCAGGAAACAGAGTTAGACTTGAGGTCTTTCTAAACAGTTTCTGCTTGCCCTACAGGCTTTTACAGTTCACTTTTATAAGTCCAGAGTTTTTAGTGCCTATACATTAGCCACGTGACCAGCAGAGCATTGTATAGAACTTGAGTTTCAGCCGCATTTATTGATAGTGACATTGTTTGGTCCAGAATTCCCGGTGCCAGGTATCAAAGGAATCTCATAGCTTTTATCAATGGGTTCCAGCAGAAGCATTAATCAGGCTTACATTGAGTAAAGGGACCTTACAAGGTCTAAGACATCACGCATTACACAAAAGTTATTCAAATCACAAAATTTATGATTCATTGATACAAAAGTTGTACAAGGCTTATGATTACATTGATACTATATTATTCAAACTTATGACCACTCCGAAAAAGGGAGTAAATGAGGATTTGCATCTTTCAGTTGATTAAGCATATAGTCTACATACAGGGAAGTCAAGGATCTCCTGAAGCTACTTTCTGGGAATGCATAGGAGATAAGGGGACTCTCAGGAATGTGCTCAGAAATGTGCAGGAGCTCTTGAGTCCTTACTATGCCCTTCTCTAAGATAGTAATATGGATGGACATTAGCAGGTCTCTGTATCATTATTACTTTAAGTATCTTCTGCTCCTTTCTCTGTTACCTGCATTTAATGCTTTTTGTAATTACCGTACAGTTCTTATATTTGTGTGTGTGTGTGTGTGTGTGAGTAAGTAGGAATTGATTTAGAAGACAGAAAAACAACTGGTGGCCAGACCAAAGGAGTTGCCTGCTTAGCATATTAATTACTGGTACTTTAAATCCTCAGTTGGGTAATTCCCAAATCTCTGCCATGTCTGAGTCTGGTTCTAATTCCTGCTTTGTCTCTTCAGACTGTTTTTTCTTGCTTTTCAGTATGCGTTGTAATTGTTGGTTGAAAGTCAGTCATGATGTATCAGATAATAGGAAACAAGGAAGTTATACTGTGTATGGTGTTTGCCGTAGCTTGTAGGTATCAGAAGCTTCAATTTCCTCTAATTTCTTTTGTTGTTGTTGTTCTTTCCTGTTGTCTTTAGATTTTCTTAGAAATTCATTCTTAAACAGTGTATCTTGCAGCTCTCTCAGTTGTGATCTACTGTTACTGTATTAGAGTACTGTTCATTTAATTATTAAGAAATTGAAGAGATAATACATTCTTTAATAAAAACTCTATTTTTTTAGTTGGCTAGAATCCCTGGGCTGTGACCTTCAGAAGACTTTCTTAACATTTTTTATTTCTCTCCTTATGTGAGAAATGAAGCCTAGAAGGGGCCCAAATTGTCTGGTTGCCCTTTTTTCTAGTTCAGACAAAGCTCTCGTAAAGTTTACCTTGAGGGCAAGCTTGTTTTAGAGAACAAAAGGCTCTGGGTATATTTCAAATGGTTCTTTTTCCCTCCCCCCATGCCAAAAGCAAGAAAAATTTTTCTCCTGTCTTCTGAAAGGAAAACTCACTAAAGCGTGACTGTTCCCCTAAGATTGGACCCTGCTTTCTCAGAGTTTTAATAAACTCTCCATTTAGTCCACACTCAGCCTTTAGTAATTTACCAAATACTGTTTAAGAGTCGTCTTCTCAAACCTATTATGGGCTCCAGCGGCTTTTGCTCCCCTAATAAGCTGTGACTGTATTCACCGAACTCTTAAGTTTTCAGAGGTAGTTTGTCCTGTGACCTCAATTCCCTGCTAGATCTAAGAAGAGTTGATTTTTTTTTCGTTTGCTCAACTTTTTTTTTTGAAGAGTAATGAGAGTGAAGATTTCAAGCTCCTCAAACATCAGAGCAGAAACCAGAAAGACTAGTAATAATATTTTATATATTATATCCTTTGACCACACAAAAAGGTGTGGTGCACAGGTCTTATTATGAACATTTTATATACAAGAAAATGGAGGTTTAAAGAGATTAAATTACTTTCTCAGAGAAATATTGCTAGTAGATGAAGGAAAAGTTAGAACTTAAATATTACAGTGCCTGCCAGGACTCTTTCAATATAGACCATTATGTTTAGGATATGAAGCAATTTTTTTAGAAATTAGCTTTAGCAGAGAGTCATCTACTTTGGGGATTGCTCTGTGGCTTGAGTAAAAAGCACTGGACTGTGATATTCCATAATAAATGTTGTCAAGCCTAATTCAGTCCCCAAATCACTTTCAGATTTTAGGAATTCTTAACAATGTGAGTCTTAGTTACTCAATGTGAGTATGAAGCAGGAGTGAACCACGTGATCATGGAGGTCTCTTATAATCATGAAGTGAAATAATTCTAGATTGGATTTAGGCCCTATAGATTTGGAAGAGAGTTTGTTGTGCAGATCTGTAAGTGTATGTGTGACAAGGGCTACACATTTCTTCAAAATCTTTCTGAACTGCTAGATTAATCACTTCAAAGTGAGAAATAATCCTTTGCTTCTTCAATTCTTTAAATAAAATTTTATATGTCTTCCCTTCTGAGTAGCTGACACAATAACCTATGAATGTGTGGTGTTTACAGCAGAACTTCCTTCTAGGAAATCTCATCTTTTGACAGTTCTTATGTTTTTTTTTCTTGTGGACCTCCACTACCAACCACTAGATGGTCTCAGTTAAATATCATGTCCTCAGAGAGGCCTTCCTTGAACACAGACAGGATCAGAACCTAGCAACTTCCCTTTCCGACTTAAAGTCCACATCCCTGACTACACTGGAACTTACATGAAGGTAGGGCTTTTTGTCTAGGTCACTGCTGTACCAGCAGGGCTGACAGTCTAGAGCAGTGCTTCCCAGTAGAACTTTCTACAATGATCCAAACGTTCTGCAATCAGCACATGTGGCTAGGCACTTGAAAAGCATACAGTGCAAGTGAACTGCTAATTTATTCCAATTTAAATTTAAATAGCCAAAAGCTGCTAGTGGCGTCATATAGAACAGTAGAGGACTAGAGCAATGTTTCTCAAAATCTAAATAAAGAAGTTAGTAACCTTCATTTTAATTCATTTCTCTTGTGATCCTTACAGGCAATGAAATTTGTATAAGTATTGATCTAAAATATGATTCTCAAGCCTGGCTTCACATTAGAGTGTGTGTGTGTGTGGGGGGGGAGGCGGTGGGGGGAGGGGTGTTGGTAAAAGAAAATTTTCCTGAACCATATCCCCGGAGATTCTGCTTTAATTGGTCTGGTACAGTGTCCACTTACCTGGGTCATTTTAATGTGCAGCCAACTTCCAAAGGCCTAGGACATCCCATATGGCACTGAGTACATATTACACAAATATGCAGTTAAATTGTTTGGCTACACTTATAAAGAACTAGTGATTAATTCTTGTGATTAAACCTTGCGATGTCTCAAGAGATGTTAGTGACATCAGTGGTTCAGAGGAATTTCTTCATAGTCAGTGGAAAAGTTCAGCTTGAGAGGGAGTCTTTTACAATTGTGTGAAATTCCTCAGCCTTTTGTTTTATCCATAAACAGCACAAATAATACCCGGTTGTGTGACACGTAGAGAGGGTGACGTGCTGAGAGTTCCCTAAACAATCACCTCTTGAATACACAAAACCTTTCCGGATTGCAGGTGAACTGACAAAGAGTTTGAGGAGGACTCAGTCACCTGACAATTCACTCCAGCCCAGTAGCTTAAGGAAGGCGGTCCCCACCCTGCGGGCCACTGAAGGCCTCTGTGTCACTGGCGCTAGAGCCCTCCCCTCTCCACCCTCTTTAGGTGAGGGTCAATGTCCCGGCAGGAAGTAAAGGCTGGATTGGCTGCCTGGGTGAGGACAGGGAACCAGGTTCCCGGGTCACGGGTGCTAGACGCGCCCCCCCTCCCCGCTCTCCTCCTGCCCCGTGTGTGGGCAGTTGTCCCGGCGGAGCGCTCAGGGGGCGAGGCAGCCCAGGGCACGCAGAGGAAACAATCGGCTCCACACGCGCACGCAGGAGGCGGACCGCGCCGGCGCTGAGTAGGAAGAAGGTCGACCGCTTGCCCGAGAGCGGTGAGTACAGCCTTTCTGGGGAGAATCACCCGGCTCTGCAAGGGGGCGCTTCCGGATTTTCCAAAAACATGCTCTCGGTTAGAAAGGAAAATCAAGTCTCAAAATACATGCGTTCACACGCTGATGATTTTAGCCTAGAGACAGACCGTGCTTGCTGGGAGATTTGAGGAAATTAACATGAAACTAAAAATGAAATCTTGGAGTAGAACAAACAAACAACCCTAAATCAGAAGTTTAGGGTCCTTTGTTAATATTCTTTAGTAAAGAATATTCTTTTCAGTAAAATAGCTTGCTACTTTTGAAGGTTAGGCATTCTGATCAATGTGTACATATAAAGGTTATGTTTTCCTTTGCACGTTTTTAATTAAAATGGAAAAATTAAGACGAACACACCAAATACTAAGTTTTAAAAAGGTCTGCGTAGTTTAAATTAATAGGGAAAATGTAAAGGAAAAATATTTGCTAATATATGAAACTGAAGTAATACAATGAAAATGAATTATATGGTTTGCTAAAATATCAGTGGACATTTAAAAAAACAAGGATGGGCCGGGCGACGGAGTGAAACTCCAACTCAAAAAATAAATAAATAAGTGAATAAACAAACAAACAATGTTTGGTTTTACTTAAAAGTAGTTTCGCATGTGTATTGCAGCACTATTCACAATAGCAAAAACATGAAAAAAGTAGTTTCAGACTTGTTAGGTTTGCACTGAAAAGAATTGAAAGTGATGTGCTGTATAGAGTGATACTGCTTTTTGGATAGAAATGTCATTGATTTAGAAAGAGATAGACTCTTGTAAAGATAGTAAGCTATTGCTTTTTTTAAAACTTGAAATTCCAAAGTTTGGGTGAAAATTTTATTTTACTTTTTATTTCATATGCAAGCGGTACATTGCAGGATACATATTACATGAGGTACATGTTATATGGGTATATTGCATGTTGGTGAGGTTTGGGCTTCTATTCAGTCACCCAAATAGTGAAACCTTGTCCCCCTCCTCTTTTCCCCCCTTTAGTAGTCCCCAGTGTCTGTTGTTCCAATTCTTATGTCCGAGATCACATGCTTTCTGAAATATATGAGCTCTATGCAGTAAACTTCATCTAGCTACAGGTAATACCTGATTGATGTTCATTCAGCAGTCAAAATGCAGCTCATGCCCTCTGATAAGCGCTATCAAATTTCAGATGGGGGTGAAATCTCAGAAGGTTAGGGTTCTTTGTTAATATTCTTTAGTGAAGAATATTCTTTTCAGTAAAATAGTTTGCTACTTTTGAAGGTTAGGCATTCTGATCAATGTGTACATATAAAGGTTATGTTTTCCTTTGCATGTTTTTAATTAAAATGGAAAAATTAAGACAGTGTCTTAGCTAGCACCTAATCGTATGTTTCCAGAAACCTCCTATATCTTTTACCTACTACAACTCTGATATCTCAGCAGCAATCCACCTGCTTGAGGTTGGCCCTTTATCAATAGTCCGTGTAAGACATGCGGGATTGAAACTCTTTGAGCCTAACAGTAAAACTATCATTATTTTTATCGAATAGTATTGCTGTGTTTGTGTTTAAATATGCCTCAGTGTCTGTTACTCAACTGCATCCCCATGGAGGGTGTTTTCTTACCAATGGTATGCTTTTGTTTTCATTTTAAGAAAGTCCACACAATTTCAAATAGATATTTACCTTACTGAAGTGTATTGACCAATTTTGAAGTTATCCTTATTTTCAGTTAAATTGTCCTTAATAATTCCAAGTACTAACGTAGTTTGTAGGTAGTTGTATATTTAATATTCTCTGCAAGAACTCATAAGAAAAATATGTGAATCTTTAAGTATTTATTATTGTAAAAAAAACAAGGAAAGATGATTTCAGGTGTATGTTACTGAATGGATATCTATAAGAAGTTATTGTTAGAATATTAAATTTGGGAGGAAAAAGACGATTATTCTGAATTCCATTTCAGAGGGCCTATTCCAAAGAGTCAATGTGCAAAAGATAAATCCAAGATAGCAGAGTAAAAAGACTCTGTTTACCTCTGGTAATAAAATTACTTTTGTGTTGTTCTTATCTCATGTAGCTTGTGCAATTAAAAAGGTGAATTGTATTCAGTGGCCTTTTCTAAATGGTACCTTGTGGAAAATGTCTGATTCTTGGTTATTTGTGGACTTGGTCCTTTTCTTCATAGGCAAACCAGAGCCTTTTAATAAGTTTAACAATATTGTCCAATAGAACTTTCTGCAAATATGGGAACTGAGAATTATTTTTAGTAATTATTTTTATAATGTACTAAAAATTGTGTTCAGATCTTGGAAGTCAGGTTTTCAAGTTCTGAAGACAAAGCTGTTCTTTTTAAATTGTAGGCTAGTAATTTTAAAATATCTGTTGAAAAGCACAAGGGAGGGATCAGCAGTCACGGGGACACTGCTAGGGGAGGGAGATGGGAGAGTTGGGAGGACATGTGACAACACGAAGGGTACCTGACCCTAAACCAGGGGAAGTAAGGACTAGTTGAAAGCCCAGACTTCACCTGCACATACATTATTTATGTACCTGATTCTGACTTGTACCCCAGATCTTAAAAAAAAAAAAAGTAAAAATAAAATAAAATATTTGTTGATAGAATAAATGAAAAAAAGAATAGATGGACATGAAGTATGAACATCACATCTAGTTGCTTAATGTCTTAACTATCATACTTTGGAAAAGTTCTACAAATGTCATGTATTAATCACAATTTGTTTACAGATTTATAACATCTCATTTTTTATTCCTTTTATTTCAGAAGCTCTTGAAAAGTACAAGTCTAAAGCAAACCAGTAAATTCTCAACAAGACTGGAACCATGAGCAGTAATGGAACAGACCTAACCCTTGGCTACATCTCCTCTTTTGTAGCTGTCCTTTTGTTTGGCTCAAATTTTGCACCACTTAAAAAATACGATACTGGTGATGGTAATCATTTTTCCTTCGTTGTTAACCTTGTATTATTTTTAAATGTGAAGTTATTTGTTGTGGTCTTTTTTAAATGGTAGTTACTAAAATACATTTGATAATTCAGGTACCTAATGAATACAACTTAAAATAAATCATCTGATAGTGCCCCTGACAGTTTTCTGAGAGTTAGTGAGAACAGGAGAACCCTTAAGAGCGTGTTTCATATTAAAACTGCGGTGGGCACCATCAGGTAAGCTTTTAAGCCATATCTTTTATGTTCACAAAAGAAATAAGTTATAATCGGTTCTTCTAATAACACTTGTTTTGAAAACACAACTCTCCGACATAATTGATGTATCAGAGAACAATTTGAGCATAACACAAATTTTATGCTTGCTTATATGCAATTTTGTCTCTGGAAAACACTAGGTGAACAGAGAAAACTGCATTCAGATGAATAAAGACATGTGGTAATACACAAAATGCACACACACAGGCATACATATCATGCAAATACCAAGCAGCTCCCTGAGTTCACTGTGTGCTCAGATCAATCACACCCATCCACATCGGATGTCAGAACTCTTCTTCCAACACCTTCACAAAAACTTACAAGCTGCAACCCTTCAGATACCCACTTCAAAGAGAAACCTCCAGTAGCTTTCAAATTAAAGTGCCCTATTTATTATAGCATTCATGTATTTAACCATTTAACTGTACTATCGTTTTAACTAGGTTCTTATCTTTTTTTACTAAATTGCTGTTGAAGTGTTTGGGTACTGTTCCCCTAGCCCCAAGTGATTTTTAGGAATGCACATATTACATTATAACCTACATAACTGACTGCGGTGTGAATTTTAGGGAAAGAGAAGCAAGTGTTATTTTTATCTACCTGCCTTCCATATTCAAGTCAAAAGAAGAAAGTGAACATACCATGAATACTTGTTGGGACTTACTTTCCTGGTAGACTTAACTGTCTGGTAGCAGTTGTGTTATCTTCTCAATTCTTTGTCTTCATACGACCTAGATGATGGGATTACAAATTGTTTTCCTCTATGTAGTTGAGCTAGAAATGGAAACTACTGGAAGAACAAAAAAACGCACAGATCTGCTTTTAGGTCTTTCCCAATTTGCTGTGTGATTCTGGGCAAATCTTATTAACTCTGTTATTTTCAGTTTCTCATTTGTAAAGTGGAGGATTTATAAAATGAAGTTCTTCTTCATCTCTGTTATCCTACTTTTTTGTCATGGAGATTAGCAGCAATTTTTTTCTCTCCTCCACTGTGAAACTGAATCAAAATAGGGAGAAATTTTCTAAAGTTAGAGTCGGAAGTGATACACTGAATTGTAACTGCCTCAGTGTTTCAACTTCAACTATTTCTTTATCCTTTTAATCTATAAAACCTTGAGGATGCAGAAGCCTCAGGTACAGGTATACTTCATATCACCAGGTAATCTTTAGATAACTGGCAAATGGCAGCTCAGAGCAGAGAAAGTAAAGTAGTTCTGACATAGAAAGCTAATTCTCACGTTTTTAATATCTTGTTCATCACAGGCATTAAACTCTAACTGTATGAGTCCTATGTGTGGCCATAAATGGCTTTATTTTTATCCTAGAAGTGGCATAAATATCCCTAAATATTTAAATCACTATTATACTATTCTGAAGTCCTTAATGCCATATTTTGGGGAAACAATGGCATTAAGTGTGGCATTTGAATGAAAATGTACACCTGATTTTGCCAATAGTCTTTGGCAGAAAATTTTTTATTTGTCTAATGGGAAAAAAAATGTTAAGCAGACATGTATTTTGTATGGGCTTTGGAGTCAAACAACCTGGGTTTAAATTGGTAACTGTTTGGGCAAATTGCTTAATCTCAGATTTGCTTTTTGTCTCTTTGAGCTAGGGTTATGGTGCACAGTAGTTCTAAGAATGAAACGTGCAAAGTCCTTGGCATGTAGGCATTCAATAGGTTGTGGCCATTCCTATTGATAATCCTAAGCACTGATTTATTTAAATCAATTTGAATCACTAACACCAAGTTCTTTTATTTTCAGGAATGTTTCTCCAATGGGTCCTTTGTGCTGCCATATGGTCAGTTGCCTTGGTGGTCAATCTGATACTACATTGCCCCAAATTTTGGCCTTTTGCAATGCTTGGGGGCTGCATTTGGGCAACAGGTAATATATGACATAACTTACTCTTTCATCATTTAATATGATGGTCAAGATACTCATTCAGAATAGGAGGAAATAGTACAAATAGTAATTCTGAATAATCCTTAGTCATTATACTAGAAATTAACTGGTTTCTATCCTTCAGTTGCTCAATAAATATATTTGGTGCATTATCTAGTTTGTTCCTCTTAATGAGTTCTATCCAAGTTCCTGGTAGAAAGTTATTATGGTAAAAATATTCATAACTCATGTTATTTTATGTGCTCTGACCTTTTTTTCTAGCATGTTTATCAGGAAATATTTATTAAATAGTAGTCTCTACTAATATCATTTAAGGACTTTGCTTAAGTAGGCAAATACAGACACATTATGATTTCAAAAGAATTGGTTAACAGAAAAACAAAGCAAACAAATCCTCTCTCTATTGCTTTATCAATATCTGAGTTTACATAACTAGAATGTATACCTTTGCTTGGCCAATCAGAAATGTTTTCCTTTCAATTAATATAAATACAACCCGGGGGGCTTATACACTATAGCAAAGAGAATTTCAAGTTTCAAGGATCTTTAGAGAAAATTGTGTTAAAAGGAAGTAAGTTTTAAAGTGTTAAAAATAGCTAGGCGCTGTGACTCACACCTGTAATCCCAGCACTTTGTGAGGGAGAGGCAAGAGAACTGTCTGAGCCCAGGGGTTCGAAACCAGCCTGGGCAACTTGGCGAGACCTTGTCTCTATAATAAATCAAAAAAATTAGCCAGGCATGGTGGCATGCACCATGTTCCAGCTACTTGGAAGGTTGAGGTGGAAGGATCACCTAAACCTAGCAGGTCAAGGCTGTGGTGGCCCTGAGCATGTCACTACACTCCAGCCTGGGCGATGGGCGATTTATTTATTATTGTATATTATTTATTTATTATGATTTATGATTTATTATGATTTATTTATTATTAAATAAATAAATAGATAGATAGATAGATAGATAAAGACAGAGAAAGAGAGTGAGTGAGTGACTGAGATAAAAATGTACCTGTTACCAACTTCATTTGAATCTGAGGGATTAAGTGATTTAGTGAAGTTCAGGAGCTGGAGTACAGAAGAGTTAACTGTTAAATTTACACTAGAATTTACATGATGATTCTTGACTATACCTCAATGTGATTGTTTATCATATCTAATGTAGAGAGGGGAACAGAGTAAGCATCTGTCCATCTTGCAAATCTTTATAACCACCATAGTAGGCATCTCTTCACCCAGCAGATTCCACTGGGAGTCAATGGGTAGAGTCTAATTTGTGAAATGTTGCAGATGTGGATGCTGTAGGTCAGAGCAACTGATAGGATATGGGCATAGAGGAAATGAAGGTGCCGATGATAATTGTGGAGATTCTATTGCCAGTGATTAGGAGGTGGTGGCATTGGCACATGAGAGGAAACAGGAAGCATGTTTGAAAGGGAAAATTGTGGGTTCAGTTTAGGACTTTCTGAGTTTCCACAAGTAGAGGATGCTGGTTAGAGATTTCTTATTGGCTATTTGGATCATGGCACTAAAACTCTAAAGTATGTCCTGGCTAGAGCTATCGCACTGAGAACATGAACCTCTAGCTGATAGCTGAAATCATGAAATTGGGCTCAGTACCCAAAGAACAATAAAGCAAGGGAAGGAATATGTTCAAGGGAAAATCTCTAGGGGCACCTAAATCCAGACGATCTGATGAAAAAGAACAGTCACAGAAAGTCTTAAAGAGGAACAAGGGGAGAATCAGGAGATAAAGGCATCTTGAGAGTCGAAAGAAGAAAATTTTTTAGAGGAGATTGCAGGTCAGAGACCAGACTACAAAAGAAAATTAATTTGGCCCCAGTGACTCTCAAGAGCATAAGACAGTGAATGTGGGAATCCAGAAAACAAATCGGTGAGCATAGAGGAGCAAATTCTAAGGCCATAGGGCCAAAGTCCCCTGCCAGTGGTTGGCCCTGGTTCAGGTCTGAGAGGATGGTCACTACTCATTTTAGCATTGACAGCTTCTGTGAAGAGTCACAGGATAGAAAGCTATGTTAAGGATGAGAAACATCTGTAACAGTTAGGCAAGGAGCTAATACATTTTTCTTGTAGAATTTTTCTGTAAACCCAGTTCTTTTAGCAACCATAATCATAAATTTTAATGCCAAAAATGTGGTTATTTTATTTTAAAAACTAAGAAATTGCACTTTATTAAATTTGTCCAAATCCCATGAGCCTCAGTTGAATAAAAACTAATTATGTCTATACTTGTATCTTCTGTATTGCAAATAACATGTTTTTTCTGTGTATTATATCTACAGGGAACATTGCTGTTGTCCCTATTATCAAAACCATTGGTTTAGGCCTCGGAATCTTAATCTGGGGATCATTTAATGCCTTAACTGGCTGGGCAAGCTCAAGGTAATACAAGTCAGACTATTTCAACCAAGATTCCCTGCACCTGTACTCTATGTAAGGCAGGTGCTTACTGAGGGGAGTAACATATGACTCTTCTTCTCACAGACATTGCATATAAATTATGCTACCTTTAATTACTATTTGTCCTATGTTCTTAATAAGTAATGTAGAAAGTTGATCACGATGTAATATAGAATTATATCTAGGAAACAAGAGTATAGAGAGAAGGGAACTGATGTTTGTTTTCGCTTTCTGTCATGTGACAATTTGCTGGACATGTTATTTGCATCGTTCTCATCTCATTTTCACAAATATGTGAAAAAACAAGACCTTAGAAGACAAGCAGATACACAAAGAGGTTGAGTAAGTTGCTGAAGGTCATAGAGCTAAGAATCTAGCACTCATACCCAGGTCTTCTAGCTCTAAAGCACATATTCATCCTTCTAGAGTAGCATCAGCAAACTATGGCCCAGTAAATTTTGTTGGAACATAGCCAAACCCATGCCTTTAAGCATTGTCTATGACTGCTTTGACATTACAGTGGCTGAGCTGAGTAGTTGCGAGGGAACATCTGGCCTACAAAGCCTAAAATATTTTCTCTCTTGCCATTGAAGAAAAAGTTTGTTAGCCCCAGCGCTAGAGTCTTGCTGACCAATAGAGTAATCAGCCACAGGAGGCCATTTATATTTACATTTAAATTAATAAAAAGTTGATAACTGAAACATTCAGTTTAATTATAAATGTTCAGTGACACTGGCCACCTTTTAAGTGCTCAGTAGCTGCATATAGCTAGAGGCTATCATATTGTACAGCACAGATATAGAACAGTCCTGTCATCACAGAAAATTCTACTGGATTGTGCTATCCCCAGTTAGCGTCAAGAGTAACACTCAGATTGAGCTTGGAAAAATTGCGGGGGGCCAGCCCCTGCAAGTTTTGGGGATATTTAGGAGGTCCCTTGGAAGGTGTGGCAGCGTCAGCGATTATTCTGGAGAAATTAAGAAAAAAAAGAAAAGGGGGGAGAATGAAAGAGACTGGACTCTGTCTAGTGCAGAAGCCAATTCTGTAGTAGGGATAGATATTAAAAGAAAGAAAGAGAAGGGATAGATATAAAGAGGAAGAAAGAGAAAGAAAGAAAGGGGACAACTGTTCAGTGAAATGAGCAGAAGCTGTTTTATTGGAAGTTACAGCAGGTATTTATCCCCAATTTTTACACAGTCTCACAAGTCTTTCACGTGAACACAAAGCCAGGTGCAGGAGGGGTGTCCCCCACCCACCAGATGTTTTCTAAGGTATAAGGAAGGACAAACCCCAAGATTGTCTATTACTCCCTTTGCTAGTTAATGCTCTTCAAAAGCAGTGCAACAATCCCTACTAGCATCATGATGTTCTGATAAACAATAACTTCTAAAGCTCATGTGCACACAACACCCATGATGACTAACTTAAATTTTATTACCTTTCTATTCTATGCTAATACTACTTACACAATGCTACGGAAGCTCTTAATTATAGCTTAAACCAATTCCTAAAGAATGTGGCCCAGTCCAAAGATCATACTGGGCTCTATAGGATGTGGCCCAGTCCAAGGTTCACGGTTGGCTACTTTTTGGAACAATAGACTACAATCTCTTAACAAAATGGGTATTCTAAAGTCCTACATATCTATCCTAATTTCTATGAAAGTTTCTAATTCCTGATCCTAATATATATAGCTGATCATCAGCAATAAAGCTTCTAAAAATAAAACCCAAATATAAACTGTAAATGTACTAAGGCCAAAACCACAATAGTAGAAAATGGAGACAATGAAATTTCTAAAGTTAACTGTATTATTAAACCTCAAAATATCATGATTGATCGTGCTTGAACTAACATGATTCCCTGACGTAGCATGACCTATTCTACAATACTTTCTATGAATAAAATAAATTCAATTTCTATAATAGGTAGAAAAAACCCTACACTAACTGTAGCTAAAGCTGGCCTAAAAGAATGCAGCCCAGTCCAAAGTACGCTCTGGGCCCTCAGGAAATGTGGCCCAGCCCAAACTCTGTGCTGGGCCATTTCTGATAACTCTAGATAGTCATTTATACCATTGAAAAGCTGAAAACAGCTCTCCATAAGTATATACTAATTCTACAAATATACTTTTAAATCTTATAAAGAAGCTTGTACCGTATAAAAGGCTCCCAAATGTGACCTGAATTTGAATTATATCTAATACCCAAGCCAAAATCACAGTTTATGGGAAACAGGAACAATGGTTTCTAGAGTGAGGCATGCCTGTCACAGTCACAGAGCCTTCAGCTTAGATCAGCAGAGTTCCTTTAGGTTACTTGTGCTACATGGTAAAAGGAGGAGGAAAATGGGGTCAACGGCTCCTGAACACATCCTAGTGGTCTCGGGGTCCACAGCCCTCCCTGATCCCTAACACTCAGTGGGCCTCCGTGGCCAGCTGTCAACAGAAAATGAGTAGAATGGAGGATGTTTTTCTCACTGCACTTTGGGGGCATTATAACCACCTCAAAACCCCAAACAAACTAACTTATGCTGTCCCTCCCCTACTTTTTACAAATACTTTTTTCTTTTTATTTTCCTTCTTGCCTTCTTTTCTCTTGCCCCTGGATTGTTCTCAGTGATTCTTGAGAATGATTATAACAATGTCAAGGCATGAAGAAACAAGAATTTAAGATGATGCCAGAGAATAGAAATACTTAACCAAGAAGTTATTTTAAAAGTCTATTTCAAATCCCATACAAAATTGCAGTCGATTAGCCTTCAGATAGTCATTTGAACTATTTTTTTTCCTCCTCTTTTTTTTGGTCTTAATAAGAAAGAGACACTTGCAAGTATTTTACATATACTATCTCATTTAATCCTCACAACAAGCCTTTATGGTAGATACTTGTATAATTATTATGTCATTTTAAACTTAGGAAATTGAGAAACAGTGAAGATAAGTAACTTATCTAAAGTCATAGGTAAAAAAACGAGAGAGGTAGGATTTGAACCCAGGAATCTAGCCCTGAGTCCATCACCTTAAGCATTATATAAGATGAAACATTTCAACAATAACTAATTTGATGTGACTTTCTGGATTTTCAGGTTTGGCTGGTTTGGATTGGATGCAGAAGAAGTATCAAAACCGGTGCTAAATTACATTGGAGCTGGACTCTCAGTAGTGAGGTACACAGTCATTTCTAATGATTTTGCTGCTTTTCCACACACTGAGTGCTTTTGAAAGAGTCTGATGTGTTTACATTTTTTAAACCTGCATTTCATACAATGGAATGCAGATTTTCCTCAGATTTTTCATTTACAATGATAGAGGACGAGAAGTGCCAGATCAGGGTCAGGAGCTGCAACTTTACCTCTCCAAAGCCCAGAGACCCTGGGAAAATCATGTATCTGCTTTCAAGCTCAGTTTCATCATTTCTAATATGTAGGAAATCATAATACATAGACCACAAATTAGAATCAAATCGTGTATTCAAATATTTTGCAAACTAAAATATGCTATGCAAATAGATGTTGTGCTGGCTTCCTGATGACCCTGGAATAGCTATTGATTCTCTCTTCTACTTGTTATTTTCTGTGTCACCTAGTTTCCACCTGTCTCCTCACCCACTTTTCTCAGCCTAGCTAAATAACCACTCTCTCACCTGTGAAATCACATGCTCTTTTGAAAACCTACTTTTCAGTATATCTGTGTCTAATTTTATGTACTCTATCAATGAGGAAGATAATGACTTTGAATCTCTCCATGACAGTATTCGGTCAATAAAACTCTAACAGGAACTGGGTCACCTTAAATACAGTCCTTTTACCTTTCTAGACTCCATTTATATTCCCTGTCAATGCTTCACATAATGGATAGCACTGCCTAGAAAGATTTTAGTACTTTTTTATTCTTCAGGGAAAGAACAGTATATTTGCCTTCCTCCAACAATGATATCTTTTCCCCAGCCACATTCAGGAACAATCTCTTTGTCATTGAAATGTTGCCTTAGAGAGTAGTCCCAGGCCAATTGAAGGAAAAATAATATAAATTATTCTAAAATAGCAGATTCCTGACATTTTGGGGGTCAGAGACATTTGTTGTATTTTGTACAATTCACACAGAATTCTAGTTTTGAGTAGCTCTCTCAAAAACAATTTCTTTATATCTCAAAATTGTAATGTAGCATGCCTTAGTCTTAACTGAATGGTAATTTAAGGCCAATTTACCCAGTCCACCAGCCATGGTTTTTCTCCATATTTCTTCTTCCTTTAGGAAGAGCACATTTTAAAAATTATAAATCAATTGTCTGTACTCTATCAATGGAAATTATAAATCAATTATTCATGTTCTAGCACTTCTACCTGTGTGACCTTGGGCAAATCATTTAATTTCTCTAAACTTTGGTTTCTTCATCTGTATGGAGGGGAAAATAATAGTACCAACCTCATAAGATACTATGACGGTTAAGTGAAATACAATATGTGTAATGCTTTTATAGTGCTGAGCACATACATGGCTAATGCTCTATATACTACGTTTTCATTATAATAATTATTTTTATTAATAGCTATTTACATTCACTTGCTGGCCCCCTTTTGGGCATTTGTTGCCCAACTTTATGTTAAATAAGTCAGTGCACCTGTTGAATCTTGCAGCTCAACTTGTTGCTTGGTCGGTGGCAGGGAAATCCAGTGATCTCTTCCTGTAGTACATCCAGCTTCCCTTCTATGTTTCCTTGCTGAGAGGAGTTTCTAGACTCTGTCATTTTATTATTATTATTATTTTTTTTTTTTTTGAGTTGGAGTCTCACTCGGTCGCTCAGACTGGAGTGCAGTGGCCGCTCCCGGCCACCGCAGCCTCGACCTGCTGGGCTCCGGCGATCCTTCCACCTCAGCCGTCCGAGTAGCCGGAATTACAGGCATGCGCTACCACGCCCGGTTGATTTTTTGATTTATTGTAGAGATGAGGTCGCGCTGCCCAGGCGGGTCTCGAACCCTCGGGCTCAGGCAATTCACTCACCTAAGCCTCCCAAAGGCGCAGGATTACAGGCTGAGCCACCGAGCCCGGCTTCATTTTATTATTTTAACTCAGGTAAATCACTTTGTCTAAAGGGCATTCAGTGAATAAACTTGGAGTTTCATGGTCAGTGTAAGGAAAATTGAAATATGATTGCAGTGGTTTAGGAAGTTGTTTTTATTAAATTAAATTTGTTGCTTCTATTCTTTGTATGATCCAGTTTTTAAAGAACTTATTAGATAATTTCTCACCTTACCTTTTCTCATTATGATATATAAAGTGTCAATCTGTGTAACAAATTACTCTAGGTAGTTTAAACAGCATGGAATTTAACACGGGGGAATAAGACCCAGTGGAATAAAAGAAGGAAGCTGGCATCACCCAATCCTGGAACCTTGCTATCACTGAATTGCCTCTGCTCTGACCTATGGCTGCTACAGAAACGACTGGAGCCATAACCAAAAGAAAATGACTTCTCCTGAATTTTTATCTTATGCGCATGCCTACCATTGGCAGAATCTAGTTGCCAATAGCCTTGGGAAATGTAGTTTTTAGTCTTCTAGACAGCATGGTTCAGGAGGAAGTGTACTGGACTTACCAAAAAATGTATACACATTTTAAGAGATGTTATCTATACACAACTATTAGTTAGCTGTGTTCAGAAGTGTCTGGACACTAATGGTAACCACTTTGAGCACCTCTTGTAATTGCAGAAGTTAAACGTGACTTGTATTCGTCTTTTGTTATCGTTATATATTGAGTATTCCAATTTCAATACAGTTTTTTCCTTTCTTAAAACGTATATACTTTTTTTTAGCACCCTCTGTATAAGGGAATGAAGCTGACACCAAGAATCAATATCCAGGACACTCTCTTAATTATTTACTTCAATGAAGATCCAGGAGTAACTGGTCTATAAAAAGGCAAATTGCCTTTTCAATTTAAAGTAATAACTTGTTTTAGATTATCCTAAAGAGTCTTCTTTCCATTCTTTTCTCTTCTCACTTAACTTGCCTTCCCTAGAGAGTTGTGTTTACTCCCATACCTTTAGTTATTTTTTACGCTGTGAGGAAATCCAAATCTTTGTTTCTAGCTATTACTTCTTCTCAGAGCTGCAGCCCTTATATCTAACTATGGAGAAAGATTTGATTTGGGAGAAAAACTCATAAATTAGCTTTTAACCTTTTGCAATTAAGGAAAGTAAGAGACATCAAAGAGAATGGAAGTTCTGAAGAAATGGCAGGACACTGAAGGGGTAATTTGGAAGTAATCATATTATTAACCCTTGATGATTTAAATCGTTTTCTTTTAAAAATCAGGCAGCCTTATATAAACTCGTGTTGTGACAGGTATCACTAAAATTTATTTTCTTTACAGTGCTTTCATATTTTTGTTCATCAAAAGTGAAATACCAAATAACACGTGTTCCGTGGATACTACACCATTAATAACAGAGCATGTGAGTACAGTATGAGAGACAAGTCGCTTTGAAACATAAAATTAAGATAAAAGGAAAATAAAAGTTTGAAACACAGATGAGAAGGTGATGTTTTATTGTCATTTGTGGCTATATAAAATATCTTAACATATTCATTATGGCTGGGTCTGTAGGAATTAATATTTCCACAGTAAAACATCTCAGTAAGCACAGCAGTTTATTTATTTTTATTAACACTACATTTCCACTACACACACACACACACACACACACACACACAATCCCATATTTTGGTGATTTAAGGATTTCCACAATAGGAGAACCCTAAATACCATAGAGGAATGTGAAGGTAACTTTAGAAAGGAGGGAAGAGTTTTGGAAGTAGGCCCAGAGAAAGTAAACAAAATGGTAAGTAACGTCATCTGAGAGGAGGAATTGGACTTGATTTACTTCCTATTTCTCTTTTCTGTCATATCCTGATCTCAAAAGTAAAGGCAGAAAATAAGGAAGGAGTTGTTCTTTTGACCTTGAAGAATCTAAATTAGTCTGGAATGGCAAATCTGGGTTAAATGGAGGCAACCTTTAAAAGGGACCTAACAGAGCACAAGCATCAGGAGCTACAGATATGAAAGTGACTTCAGACAAATCCCCGTTGCTAGGAAGCCAGACTCTGGTCCATCCTGTCTCAGGAATCTCTCCTGCCTGCCATGGCCAGTGCTATCTAGCAACCCTCTAAGCCTAATACCCCACACCCCACTGAGGTATTGCCTCCCTGCTGGGTGCTGTCTCTTCTCCTTACTTAAAAATTAATCTTTTCTTCTTCCCCTGTCAAAACTTATCAATTAAGATGTCTGAAACCTTAGTTAGGTTGACACTGAAGTTGAATAATAATAATTTGCTCAAGTGTAAGAGAGAAGAGTTGTACTAACCCATAGGCAACGCCAGTCAGGAAAATGTTTCTGGGAGAACGGATGAACTGGCATTGAGAGAGGATTTCTTGTGTTCCTTGTCTGCATTAGGGATCCAGATACCTCCTAACCAACCACCCTTCAAACAAAGGAACAAAAAAATAAAATATAAATACAGTTTGGTCAAAGATACACAGTAGGTTAATTGCCTTCGATTTTTCTAGGTAAGGTGGAAGGAAATAAGCAAGCTAAGTTGAAAGATACATAAACATGATTGGTCGATATGCAGCCATATATCATGAGCTCCTTATAGTGAAAGAAAGCATTATTTTCAAAGGAAAATTTGACTTAGCATGTGTCAAAGAATTCAAATCTAGTTTCTGATAAGAGTCTCAGAATTGCAATGTCAAGGATACTTCAGCTAAGTGGCACAAAAGATAAAGCAGTCCCCCTTTATCTGCAGAGGATATGCCCTAAGACCCAAAATAGAGGCTTGAAACTATAAATAGTTCCAAACCCAATATACATATATGTGTGTGTCTGTGTATCTATTTTATATATGTATATATATTGCACGTGAATATAGTGTCCTTTTGATCTGATCAATATAATGGTTACTAAGTGACTAATGAACAGGTGACATATACAGCGTGGACCAAGGGATGATTTGCATCATACTGACTTAAAATATGCAAATGAAACACGAGTTAATAACTTTTGTTAGTTTTGATAGGTATATCAAAATAGCTACATATCAAACTGTGAAAATTTTAAATGAAGAGCTTGCCAACTGCCAAATCATTCTAGGAAAGAGGGACCAAATCAGAAACAGTTGAGTCTAGAGATATCAGACTCATAGATGACATGTTCATATTTTAATGCGTGATTGAGATAGAAGAGAAAAACACTGGAAATCTTTTTGTCACTGGTGTGATTATCAACGGAATGTTCTTTTTGTTTTGATTTGTGCAAATGTTTGCCATAGGTAATCAACAAAACTCCAGATTCCTGTTCCTGGGTGGATAAACTTTCTACTGTACATCACCGCATAGTGTAAGGAGAGACTAGTTCTTACTATTCTCTATTATTTCGTTTCATATTTGGTTAAAGCAGGGATTACCAGAATGAAGTGATACTCATCTGAGTTCAAGAGAAAATGGTAATAGAAGCATTCACTTCTAGCTCTGTGGGGCAAGATTTTCTTTCTTCTCTGCTGAATTTTAGGTAGAAATTCCCTAAAACTTGCTGCCTCAAAGAATTATTAAATCATTGCAACATCTTTAACCAGTAAATAGAGACAAACCACCTCATTTTGCAGGACTTGTGCAGCTAAGATGAAAGAGATATAGTATCATAACCAGCATGCTCTCAGCAATCATAGTTGTATCAGGCGGTATACTTCTCCACACTGCCCCGATGCCCACCCTACACTGGGAATCTTTTTGCTCATGTGTTAGGCAATTTTGTAATTCCAGACGTTCATTGTTAAATGTAGTGGAGTATTCTGTGTCCATGTGGGTCTTACCCTAACGGTCTCACAGAGTTGGGCTCATGTCAGTCCCTCTGCTTAAGGATATTTGTTTTGTTTTTTTGGATGGCCAAAAAAATATGAAAATACATAATAGGATATAGATTCCTTTACAGTTGATGGCTGCTAAAGCCTTATGTGGTGACACCTTTTGACTCAAGAATGTAAATCTTTCTTTTTGATAGTATATGCACTGTTCACAGTGGGAAAGAGCAGCACCTGGCATTTAGTAAGTTCTCAATAAATATTTGAAAAATATGGAATGAAAGAAAGAATAAACTAACAAGCTTTGGAATAAATAAATATAATACTGGTTTTTTGGTCTCAGAATGAAACAAATTCTTCAAACAAAAGATTTTTTTTCACAAAGTATGTTATCCATTAAGGGAGTATTTGTTAAGAAAGCTTCTGCTGGTCACAGAGCTTGGGATAGATGAGTGCTTTCTCCTGCTAAATTGCTTGCAATTTGCATTTTGAAGCATGCTTCAGTGATGATTCCATTTGTGTGTTTGGTAGATGTATTGCTTTAGGCCAAGAATAATGATGATTTGCATGTTTGTTTGTTTTGCTTTTTAGGGGCTGCAGTCTTGCAGTGATATCTGGAATACTTTATGGATCTACATTTGTGCCAATCATTTACATCAAGGACCACAGCAAAAGAAATGACAGTATTTATGCAGGGGCAAGCCAGTATGGTGAGAGTAAAAGTTATCTTACTTTACCAACAAACTCATGAGTACCTACTTTTCTCTGAATATAAAAATAATTGAGATAACCGTCATTTGGTGTGAAGATTTGATCTTACTTTTTCATTGTAAGTGGTAAATTCAAAAGGGACTGAAGACTAAAAGTAATAAAGGACTGTTTGAGTATTTTCATGTGATCTTTAGCATACAAATACAACCAACTGTAGTCAGGATTCATTTCAACCACTTGGATCTTAACACATGGTTTCTGGCTTTTTTGTAAGATTCGGAAATAATTTTCCAGTTAGATGATCTCTGAGAAAATATGTATTCTTCCACTCTCTTTTAAAAAGGCTAAAGTATAGTACATAGTACTTTAAAATCAAGTAAAGGTCAAAGTATAGCCTTGCCTAAAGGTCAAATATAGCCTATTTAGTCAGAGGATATTTTTAAGCACAGAGTAGTGCATTGAAAGGCCCAACATAATGCTTCTTGCTACTATCTCAGTTTTCAGTGATAGAATTGATTTCACAGGAGTAATCTCAAGACTATGCAGTTGCCTTATACAGGCTTCACAGGAGATGAAAGAGTGTCTACTTTGAGGGTCCTATAATGATGTTGAAACGTGGCTTACATCAATGAAATTGTAAGAGAATGAGATCATTGGTAAAATAAAGTTGTAAATCAGATGGTAAAGAAAATTATCTGTTCAGATAAGGGGGAGGTTTGGAGGGCAAGAGTCATGAGGGAAGAATTGATGAAGAAGTTGACATTTAAATTCGACTTTAACAGAGTGGATAGACTAAGTAGATGTTGTAGGTTCTTCCTTTTTACATCGAGCTCCATGTACAATACTCATACCTCTTGCTGACTTCTGTTTCTCTTTTAAGACTGTGTACAAATACTTTTATTTTTATAAAAGAAGAAAAACTAATAAAAATAGAAGAGCAATAAATTAAAGGAGAAGGGAAAACAAGAGCAAGAAAATAAAAGTACCAGGAACTGGTCTAAAAATTTGTATGCTTGCTAAAAAGGAGCCATGAATTTGGCTAGATTTCTTGTAGCCACAAGAAAAATCAGATCAGTCCCATGATTCAGTGAATACAATATAAAAACAGCTAATTGTTCAGAAGCACAGTTGTTCTTAGTACTGGGGCATAATAAACAATGTCCTCAACAACAGATTTTCAGAAATAGAACAATGAGTTCTTAGGGATCTTGCTCATGATAACTCCGAATGTAGTGTCATGGAAACACTTTATTCTAGTTTACTCAAAAATAATTCTGGAGGGTCATTTTTTATTTCATTTATTTAACAAACACATGTGTAATATGTGCTCTGTCTGAAGTATTTTGCTAAGTTAACTTTCATAGCAATTTAGACCATTATTACCCTTGTTTTACAATTAAGAAAATTAATAACATTGGGTTATTTGTCCAAGTCCAAAAGCTACTGGGTGGTGGAATGAGGATTTGCACCCAGGTAGTCTATGCTTTTAGTCACTGTGTTTTGCTGTATTTTGTGGTGGTCCACATATGGATATATTGTCCATATATTATGATCCAGAAGTAGAATTTAAGATTTAGAAAAATAGATAAGCTCTCTGTCCTTTAAGCTTTTTTCCTTAACCATGGTCATTAACCTTTGTAAAATTTTTAGTGAAGAAACACTGAGTCCAGAGTGACTTTCCCAGCCAAGAACCTGTAGTGCACCCATCTGTGTGACCACAGTACCATCTGCTTAAACAATTAGTAGAGTGGGGTTTTTCAGAGACTGGACCACCATAATGTGATATGAACCCCCATATATTTAGATTATAGCAAACAATTGAATAAAGCCCTCTTTGGAATAACTTCCTGAAGATCTTTCTGTATAGCTGTCATGTGCAACAGAGATGTTGGTCTCCAGACTGATAATATACCATGTAAAAATAGTATCACCTCAGTTTTTTTCACTGACATCCCACTGTAGTCTACTTGAAGATTTGCTATAATTGCTATAGTCATTAGTAAAATTTGGTCTGAATACCTATTCTTAAAAAGACAGATATTAACATTATTGTCACATAATTTTGTTTCTTATTTAGCTTTCCAAGATGATCATAAAAACTGGCCCCTTAGATATGATTGTAGTAACTGATTTACAACTTAATATTTCTAAGTTTTAAATATCTTAATTAAAATGTGTACATGAATAAAATGTGGGAAAACTAAGAACCCTTACACAATTAAGGGTTCTTATACTTTTGATATTAATTTTGGTGGGTTTTAACTTTAGAAATCTAAATATATTTGGAATGATTAAAATAGTATTTGAAAGTTTTATAATCTGTATTTTCAGATTTAGACTATGTTTTTGCACACTTCAGCGGCATCTTCATCACAAGTACAGTCTACTTTCTAGCCTACTGTATAGCCATGAAAAATAGTCCTAAACTGTATCCTGAAGCAGTCTTACCAGGTAAGAATATTCACTACAGAAAATCTTCCTACTATATTAAAGTATCATCCTCTACTCATTTAACTTGAATAATTTTCTGAAAACCAAACTCTGTGTGTGTGTGTGTGTGTGTGTGTGTGTGTGTGTGTGTGTGTGTGTGTGTGTGTGTGTGTGTATGTGTTCATTCCTTAATTACTTTAGCCTAGTTCACCACCAAATATGAAGTATTTGGTCAATAGTATGGAACCTAAAACTCAAACAATCTAAGATCTTTTCCTGTGCTAAAACATCTCTGTATTGCTCACTTCATTTTCACTATCTAAGGGTTCATATTAAAAGTCAGAGTCCTGTGACTCTCTTTAAAAATGTACCAACAAATAGGAATCTGCAGTTGCTTAGGAAAGCAGGTTTTCCAAAAGGTAAGATGAGATTGTTATGGAGTTCAAAAAAGATGTATATTAAATACACATGCTTTTGGATTTAATCTGTTAGACATTGATTATTTTTGAAAAATGCTCATATAGGAGTTAACTGTAACTCGGTTTGGAATATAGATCCACAAGTAACTTTTAAAAATAAAGCCTAATTCAAACACTCACTCTGAATACTTGACTGATTTATGCTAAAGTATGACATCTGTCAGAGAATGGTAGATTACTTACTAAATGCCTGGCTAAAGTATTGTGAAAGTTTTAGCTGGTATTTTCACTTAAATACTAGGGGCTTTTTCCTTAACTACAGCATCACTGTATAAACTCACTCTGGCCGGGCTCGGTGGCTCAGCCTGTAATCCTGCGCTTTGGGAGGCTGAGGTGAGTGGATTGCCTGAGCCCGCGGGTTCGAGACCCGCCTGGGCAACTTGGCAAGACCTCATCTCTACAATAAATCAAAAAATCAGCCAGGTGTGGTAGCGCGCACCTGTAGTTCCAGCTACTTGGAAGGCTGAGGTGGAAGGATCACTGGAGCCCAACAGGTCGAGACTGCAGTGGCCGGGAGCAGCCACTGCACTCCAGTCTGGGTGACAGAGTGAGACTCCAACTCAAAAAAAATAAATAAGTAAACTCACTCTGTGTCTATGGATTAGAGTAAATGGTGTTTGCAGAGAATGTTCAGATCCAGTGTCTTTCCCAGGCCCCTCTCCACTACCTGGTCTCTACCTCTGCTATTACTTTGGGTACTTTATTGTCAATAAAGTGAAAGGATTGATCAAGTTTTCAGGAGAGGAACTTGTTTGCAAATGGGTATTATCTATATGTGTTTCAGGATTCCTGTCAGGAGTACTCTGGGCAATCGCTACCTGTTGTTGGTTCATAGCTAATCACTCTCTAAGCGCTGTGGTCAGTTTTCCCATAATCACTGCTGTAAGTAGCTGACGGGTTTTCCAAATTTTTGTTTCACAAATGTAAATGTAATTTATCTGAAGTATTCTTAGTGAATCACTAAAGATGATCATGTATTTTGAGTTTTTTGGAGTACAATTAATAGATTTAGGTAAATGGATACTCTAAGAAACATTTCTAACCTCATTTTAGCAGGATTGTTAACCCTTAATTTTAAATATCCCTGCAATTTTGTAAAATTTTATTTTAAACCGGGCTCGGTGGCTCAGCCTGTAATCCCACGCCTTGGGAGGCTGAGGTGAGTGAATTGCCTGAGCCCGCGGGTTCGAGACCTGTCTGGGCAAATTGGCGAGGCCTCATCTCTACAATAAATCAAAAAATTAACTGGGCATGGTAGCGCACGCCTGCAATTCCGGCTACTTGGAAGGCTGAGGCGGAAGGATCGCCGGAGCCCAGCAGGTCGAAGCTGCGGTGGCTAGGAGTGGCCACTGCACTCCAGTCTGGGCAATGGAGTGAGACTCCAACTTAAATAAATAAATAAATAAATAAATAAAATTTTATTTTAAAGATGTGTTGTACAATTCAAGATTAGGTATGCAAATGGTCATTGTACAGGTAAAGTTTGGTCCCCATTTTGGCCTCCCTTTGGTCCCCATTTTGCCTGGTTTGAGACTAGGTATCCTTATTGATGTTGTGGCTCTCCCCCTTCCCCTGGCAGTATCTCGCTACTGCCAATCCCTTTCTCATAGTATTTTGGTAAATGTTCAGGGCCCGCTTATGAGTGAGAACATATGGTACTCATTCTTTGTGTCTGTGATAGATCACTGAGTATTATAGACTTTAAATCCATTTAAGTTGCTGTGAAGTCCGTATGTTTGTTCTTCTTTATGGTTGTGTGATATTCTGCCATTTATATGTACCACATTTTTTTATCCAGTCGATTTTTGATGGGCAGCAGAGTTAGTTCCATGTTTTAACCATTTTGAATCATGCTGCAATAAACACACATGTGCGGGTATCTTTTTTGTCGAATGATTTGAGTTCCTCCGGGTATATTCCCAGTAAGGAGATTGCTGGGTCATATGGAAGGTCAATTTCTAGTTTTTTAAAAAATCACCACACTGTTTTCCATAGAAGTTGAACTAATTTGTATTCCCACCAGCAGTGTAGAAGCATTTTTTTTCTCCATATCCTCAACCAACATCTGTTGTTTTATTAATGGTGGCCATTCTTTCTGGGATTAAGTGGTATCTCAATGCGGTTTTGATTTGCATTTCTCTGGTGATTAGTGAGACTGAGCACTTGCAATATTTTGTACATCATATTGCCTGGTATTATTTTAGATACATTATAATTTATAACAATACTAATCTTTATAATGCGTTACAAATATAAAAAATGATTATATGTATATTATCACACTTGAATCTTGTGCCAATCTTGTGAGACTAAAAGTACTTCAGATTCGTCTTGCTATGGTACTTCACTCTTTCTAAGGAAAACTTTCAGAAAGTACTAAAGTCTCTGGAGGATGCCATCTATTATGGCATACTTAATACAGTTTGCTTCATCTGATTTTCAGGTACTAGTTTTGTAAAACATGGTTAGGTAACAGAAAAACAAAATGTTTTTTTAAATAGATAGGGTAAGTATTGACAGGATGATCTCCATTTTGAAAATGAGAAAATTGTGGCAATAGATAAGAGCATTATCTAAAGTCACATAGCTAGAGGAAATCTGAGTTTCTAAGAGTTTCCAGTATACAATGCCATTTTCTGCCATTAGTGTGGAATCCAATTTAGCATTTGTTTCAGGTTGATTATTTTGCTTAGACTGATATACATATACATGAGAATTGCTTTAATGGTGGGCTCTTGTATCTAACCTAGGTATCTTAGATTGCTGACCAGTTATTCAGTAGTATCTCCTGCTTCCCAAATTATCATCACAAACAAAGTTTGCCTAAGATATTTTAGTAGCACTTCTGTGCAAATCTACAGAACTCATTTTTTGAAACACATTATCTAGTCTAAAACACACTACATAGATGTTTGATATAAACCCTGGATTTCAACAGTATATTTTTGGCAGTTCTACTGTTCATAAAATAGTCAGCTTTCAAATGCAACTAAGTTAAAATAATAAAGAGTTTTTATTTCTTTTCATTTAAAAACCTCACTTTTTGACATTCTTAATCTCTGCTAGGGGAAAATATAGCAAGTTATAAGGAATTGCTTTACATCTAAAGTCCTCATAATCGGAATGGCAAAGGACTCAAATTCTTTCCAAGAAGGGATTTGTTCCTCTTGATATCAAGGATATTTAATGTTAGAAGTGACAGGGAAATACCAGTCAGTGGGATATAAAGCTTACCGTTAAACAATTCAAAGCAGAAAAATGTAAACAGCGTGATATGTCCCTCAGCTACAGATGCAAAAATTATTTGATAGTGTTAAAATCCTATGACATAAGGAGGAATAATACTTATTAAAATAAGTCAAGCCACTATTTCCATCAAATTTCAACTTTTATCTTTGCAATATGCTGATGATTTTTTTTATCTTGTAATCAAATTATATTCTTCAACAAGTGTGGGTTCTCCAAAAGGGGTTTGAGGCAATTTTATGTAAAAACACAGTTACAAATAGGTTGCACTAGACAAACAGAAACACAAGCACAAATAGAAAATCAAAACTATGACAAAGATGAGAACGGGAGTAGATAGCATGAAGGGCAAATAGTTGTTGTGATTAAACATTAAATCAAACAAATTATAAGAAATTTGTGCTTCCCTTGGTGACTAATTCTTATTAACTGGTAACATATGTCCTCAGAAGAGACCAAGTATTTCCTTGCACTGCATTTTTAATAGAATTTATCATATGGACCTTTTAAAGGAAACACTGAACAAGAAATAAACAATATCCTTAACAAAAATTTTTTAGTAGAGAGAGAAATGGTTTTCCTGCCAGTGTTTTTAGTATTGAACTGTGGTAAAGTCTGAAGACAAAATATTAAAGCCTAATTTACAGGAAATAAATTGCTGAGGTAGGTAGGTGTGGGCACAAGGTCAGTGGGAGCAGTCACTGTGGCTTTTGGAGACCTGAGACCTGTCCATCAAAAAGAGTATCTTTGAAAAACTGTAATGTAAGCAAAGACTTCTCACTTATCAGGTGAAACTTTCTCTCATGCTCATGGGTTGTCATCTGGGAAGGACAGATATTTTGGGGTGATGAGGGACTAGCTCTCTGTTGCTACTGGGTTCTTACTTGGTTTCGCGTTTGTCACTCTATCCAAGGACAACCTTATCTGTATGCAGAAAAGATTCTGTCCCTGCCCTCAAGGATCTTTTCTTTTTCTTTCTTTCTTTCTTTCTTTCTTTCTTTCTTTCTTTCTTTCTTTCTTTCTTTCCTTCCTTCCTTCCTTCCTTCCTTCCTTCCTTCCTTCCTTCCTTCCTTCCCAGGGTTTTTTTTCTTTCCTTTCTTATTTATTTATTTATTTTAAAAAATGTGGGATACAATTCAGGGTCAGGTATACCAAAGGTACCCTTGTTGATGAGGTGCACCCCCTCCCCCAGCAGTTTCTCACTATTGCCAATCCCTTTCTTACAGTATTATGATAATTTTTCAAAGTTTGCTTAAGAGTGAGAACATGTAGTACTCGGTTCTTTGTTTCTGTGATACATCACTCAGTATTATGGACTCTAAATCCATCCAAGTAGCTGCAAAGTTCATAATTTTGTCCCTCTTTATGGCTGCATAATATTCCATCATGTATACGCATCACATTTTTTTAATCCAGTCCTCTTTCAATGGACAGCACAGTTGGTTTCATGTTTTTGCAATTGTGAATAATGCTGCATTAAACATGCATGTGCAGGTATCTTTTTCATAGAGTGATTTGAGTTCTTCTGGGTATATTCTCAGAAGGAGGGTTGTGGGATCGTATGGAAGGTCAATTTTTAGGTCTTTTAGGAATCACCAAGATGTTTGTCACAGAGGTTGTACTAGTTTATGCTCCCACCAACGTGTAGAGTGTTCTCTTTTCCCCCTGTCCTCTCCAGCATCTGTTGATTTTTGAGTTATTGATGATGGTCATCCTGACTGGAGTTAGGTGGTATCTCAGTTTGGTTTTAATTTGCATTTCTTTGATGACTAGTGAGGCCGAGCATTTTTTCATGTATCTGTTGGCTACTCATATGTCTTCTTTTGAGAAGTGTCTATTCATACCTTTTGCCCACTTTGTAATCGGGCTTTTTTGGGGGGGGCACATTTCAGTTCCTTGTAGATCCTGTATATTAGGCCTTTGTCAGATATACAGTTGGAAAATACTTTTTTCCCATTCTGTGGGCTGTCTCCCTGCTCTCTTGATTTTTTTTTTTTTTTTTTTTTTTTTTTGGTTTTGCAGAAGCTTTTCAGTTTGATGAGGTCCCACTTTTTTATCTTATCTCTTATGGCATGGGCATTTGGGATTTGGGTCAGGAATTGGTTGCCAGTTCCAATTTCCTTAAGGATGTCTCCTGCATTTTCTAAGGTTCTTATAGTTTGAGGTTTTACATTTAGGTCTTTGATCCATTTAGAGTTGATTTTTGTGTATGGTGATAGGTAGGGGTCTTGTTTTAATCTTCTGCATGTGTTAGCCAGAGCAATCAGACAAGAGAAGGAAATTAGGGGTATTCAGATAGGAAAGGTGGAAGCTAAGGTATCCCTCTTTGCTGACAGCATGATCCTATACTTTGAAAACCCAAGAGAATCTGTCAAAAACCTCCTTGCACTAATCAAAGGCTTTGGCAAAGTCTCAGGGTATAAAATAAGTGTGCAAAAGACAGTTGCTTTCCTATACACCCACATAAACAAACAGAAGTCCAAATAAAAAGCACAATCCCATTCACAGTGACCACAAAAAAAAAAAAATACCTTGTCCTCTTCCTAACCAGAGAAGTGAATGACCTTTACAACAAAAAATACAAATCACTGCTCAAAGAAATGAAAGATGACACAAACAAATGGAAAAATATTCCATGCTTATGGTTGGAAGAATCAACATTGTTGAGATGTCCATCCTACCTAAGGCAATCTACAGATTTAATTAAATACCATTACATTACCAACATCATTCTTCTCAGACCTGGAAACGACAATCCAGAAATTCGTATGGAAACATAAACAACCACGAATAGCCAAAACAATCCTCAGCAAAAGAAACAAAGTGGGAGGTATCACACTTCCAGACTTTAAATTATTATAAGGCTACAACAATCAAAACAGCCTGGTATTGCTACAAGAACAATCCATAGACCAATGGAACAGGATAAAGATTCCTGAAGCAAATCCTTAATTTCTCAACCGATGAGTCTTTGACAAAGCTTCCACCAGCAACTTCTGGAGAGTAGAACCTTTTCAGTAAATGGTGCTGGGAAAACTGACTGTCCTTTATTTTTTATGAGATAGGCTCTTGCTCTGTTGCCCAGGCTGGAGTGCAGTGGTGCAGTCATAGCTCAGTGCAACCTCAAATTCCTGGGCTCAAATGATCTTAGCCCACCTCAGACTCCCAAGGACTAGATTATTTTAAAAACTTTTTAAAACGTAAAATTTCAAACATATCTATTTCCCAGCTTCAACAATTTTGAATATGGCCAATTTTATTTTATTAAAAAGTACATTTTAAAAATCCCAGTAATACTGTTCTTCCTAGGTATACATATTCCCATAGTTATGTATCCAGTGGTGACTGAAATGTGAGCTTCTTGAGAGCAGTATCTATTTTATTTATTGACAACTAGCATTCAATTAAAAATCCAGAGAGAGCAGGAAGGGAAAGAAAAAAAAGAAAAACCCACCTCGCAGGGTCAAGACTTTCCTGTTCATTCTAAAATTATCCAAAAGTTTCTGCTTCTCAAGATAAAATCAAGTTCACCAGGTGTGGTGGCTCAAGTCTGTAATCCCAGCACCTTGGAAGACCGAGGTGAGAGAATTGCCTGAGATCAGAGGTTTGAGACCAGCCTAGCACACTTGTCAAGACCTCGTCTCTACAATAAATCAAAAAATTACCTGAGCATTGTGGCTGACGCCTGTAGTACCAGTTCCTTGGAAGGCTCAGGTGATTCTTCCACCTGAGCACAGCATGTCGAGGCTGCGGTGGCCGTGAGTGTGCCACTGCACTCCAGCCTGGGCGACAGAGTGAGACTTCAACTAAAAAAAAAAAAAATCAAGCTCACTGTGCTTTCAAAGGCTGATTTACACATAATTTGCATCCGTTTACAAAAAAACAAAAACAAAAAAAATGCAATCCCAATTACCAAACCAGTTGTCGATCTCTCCTGTCTAGGACGTCCTCCCTCTTTGGCTGTCCTTGACCTGAAGCAGAGTCTCTACATCCTTTGACCACTTCCTGTTACATTACCTCACAGCAACTTTTAAGCCATGCTTAGACTAATATTTAGAAAATCATCAGACAAAATGCTTCAAAGGTCAGTAATAACTTATGGTATTACTGTCTACCATGTCCTCTGAAGGGAAATGAGTTTCCAGATTAAACATTCTTGAGTGCTTAGCATCACATTAATATTATATCCCCTCTTCTCTTGTTTTCTCCCATTCTGTTGAAAATCAGTGTAGGGTTGCCTAAAAGGACCCATCTGCTTCTTGTTTGATTTGGATTTTGTGACTTAGAACCTTGCATCATTGATAAAAGGCAGTTTCTTTTACCTATTTCTCTGGCTCTTTTGATGTTGACTTTCCAGATGCTGATAAACAAAGAGTCATGTATTCTTATTGCTTCTCTTATATGCCAGGAATGGAATTAAACCTTGTTGACCTAGTCCTTTAGGCAGTTGGAGGAGTGGAGGTAGAAAAACACTTTGGAATCTTTTATTTGAAATTCTTCCAGAGTTCCACAGGGCTTGAAGAGGAATCTAAAAATGCTGAGACTATACACCTTCTCCACAAAGACCACAATTAATCCAAATCCCATATTTTCCCTTCTTGCCTAAAAATAAATAAATTAAATAACACTAAACTTGAATGAAGTTTTCAAATGTTGGAATAATTTTTTTCTTCACTTTATTTATTCTCATTTTCTTTGTCCTATATTAGTTCTTTCTGTCTGTCTCCTGCCTAATGACTCCTGTTGCTTTTTTTTTTGCCTTACATGATTTTTAAAAATCTTCCCATAAAACTTCTTTTAGCCTTCATTAGTGTTTAATGGTAGCCATACTTAATTTCTCTGTGGTAGCATTCATTAATTTTTTTAAAGTACAAGCTACTTCCATATGCACATTATTTGTAAAACCTGAAAGAACATGCCAAAATCTTCAACTATGAGATTATCTAGTCTCCTAAGGAACTAAGTCAATAGGGAAAAATCAAGCCATTTGCTTGTTAAAGTAATTTTTATAAATATATCATGCTAAAGAAAAGTATCCTACTATACAAAATATAGCATCATCAAACTAATAAAAATTAAGACCATGAAGAAAAAAAATGAAAAAAAAAGTCATCATGACTACTTAATGTTACTTAGTATTCAGCTTAATGTGGAGTTAGAGTTGAAATTATGGATAGGTTTTCCTGAAAATGTTTTTATATTATCTCTGACTTATTATATTTATATAGAATACAGTCATGGGTAAATATCTAATTTAATTAATGTTTATATTTTTATTTAAGGGTCCAGGATTTATAGCTGCAATGTGGGGTGTCTTCATGTTTAAGGAAATACAGGTAAGTATAAGAAAAGGCAGGTTTCAAAAATAAGAATAGGTTCAGGTAAGAAAAGTATTTAATATTATGTTTGTGTTATTTTCTGAGAACTGCATGTGATGCCTCAACCCAGGGCAGGTAACATATGAATACATTTGACAGACAAAATGTCCAAAATGTTATAATACCCAATTAGGAAAGAAAATTCTAGAGCTATGGTAATTTTCTGAAACATTACTTCTCTTTCCACCACCATCTCCAGTGGAAACATGTTTTAGTTGACTTAAATTTCCCAAAGTGATTTTAGTTAAATAACCCAATAAAATATGAGAGAGGAGAATTTCTTTAGAGTAAAATATGGTAGATAAGATGAAGGGTTTGGTTAAAATATCCCTTGAGGTAAATGATATTTGAGAATAGATCTTTGTATTGGTCCCTGTGTCTCCCAAAGGCTTTCATATCAAGTCAGCAACTTTACAGGAAAACAGCATGGTAACAGGTGGCTTTATCATTTCATTTTAAAATATGAATGATAGGAATTTAAATTGCACTTATTAAATAGTTCTAGTAAATATGTATATGTGATTTCATTAAAAATCACCTGGACAGGTGCAGTGGCACATGCCAGTAATCCCACTACCGGGGAGACTAAGGTGGGAGGATCGGGGAGTCCAAGAGTTGGAGGCCAACCTGGGCAACACAGCAAGATTCTCTAAAAATATAAAAACAAAAGTAAAAAGTATGAACTCGAGAGTCAAACTGGGATAAACATCCCAAAAAGCTGTGACAATATGAGTAAAGTGTTCAGAACAGTGTCAAAAACAATGTAAATGCTCAGTAAATTTTGGGGATGAGGGTCATATGTCATAGCCCAACTGTCAAGAGTAAACTATCACACAAAAGTCAGAGAATGTCTCTACTTTTAGCAGGGTGCTGTGGTAAACTCCTGTGAGCTCAACTATGCAGGAGGATTGCTTGAGCCCAAAAGTTCAAGTCCAGCCTGGACAACAAAATGAGATGCTGTATCTAACAAAAATTAATCAATTAAAAAATATTTTTTATACATTGTTTTAGAACTTTTTCCAGTTACTTTTACTTGTGGGGTAAAATTTCAGTTGAGAAATGTATGCAAATACATTGTAAGTACTTTGTAAGAGTTTTTATTAAAGACAATATTGATCCAAAGACACTCTGTCAAGATAGTATAGACACAGTCTTTTCTGTCTTAATATGCCACTGTAATAGCAAATACTTCCTTAGATTAATATTGCTAATGTCTGAGAACTATAAAGTGAATATATTCCTAGTTGATCTTTAAAATGATTGTTTAATTTTCAATTTAAAACATCACTTCAATCATTCTAAATGAAATGATTCGATTTAAAAAGCCATAATTTGATAATGCAAGTAAGAGTCTCAGATTAAATAAATAAATTTGTTTAGATGGTATATGGACTATGATCTGAATTTTTTTTTTTAAATACACAAGAGTAACTTAAAACATTTATAGACCTGTAAGTTGTTTTTGTGCACATTTCTCATTTATTTTAGCTGGAGTTCCTTTCTGAAAAAGTAATGCTATGCCCAAAATACATTGTAAATACCTCTGCAAATATTTCATCTACCTCACAAAGGATAATTTATTTCTATTCAAGAATTGAGTATTATCCCATGTAAGATGCTGAAACCTTAGAAAATCACAAATTAGTGGCTATGGCTTGTTTGCAATTATAGGTCTAAAGAAGCACAAACTAAGTATAGATTTACATTAAAATAACAGTATAGACTTGAAAATTATGTTGGTCAATACAATGATAATAACAATACTGAACTAAAAATCCTTTTAACTACATATAACAACTCTCTCCAAAGAGTGAATCCCTAAGCAGTAAGTCTAGCACTACTTCTTTAAAGTCCTTTAAAGGAATGCTAAAAACATTCAAGCAATTTTTTTTTCTAAAGATATCTTTAAAAAGACCAAATAGAAAGTAACTTGTAAGATTAGTGTACCATGACCAAGTAGGATTTAATTCAGGAATGCAAGGATGGTTCATAATATGCAAATTAACTAATGTTATTTACTACTGTATTAGAAAAACAGGGGAAGAGGATGTGATAATATATACTATATTAATCTCTCAATAAGCTAGAAATGAAAGGAACCTTTAGTTGATACAGTATGTCTATCAAAAAACAATAGCAAACATATTTCCAAGGCGAAAAATAAGAGTTCTCTGTAAGTTGGAAGTCAATGATTTCTCCATCATTACTATTATTCAATATTTCCTGTAGATCCAGCCCATTTGGAAAGATAAGAATAATAAATAAAATAAAATAAATATAGGGAAAGAATGAGAAATTTTTGATAGAAAATGAAATGAGAAAATTATCATTTGCTGATAACATTTTATAAAATTTGAAGGAAATCAACTGAAAAGCTTATGATCCAATAAAGATCGTTTAGTAAAAATTGAGATATAAGATAAATATAAATGAATAGATTTCCAGTATACCACCAATAACCAACTAAGAAGGAAAATAAATGCTATTATTAAAAACCACAAAATTACACAAATCTAAGAAAATATTAACAAGTAATGTGCCAGATTTATAAAATAATTGTATCTTACCTTACTCCAAAAATGTGCTAGAGGACACAGAAGATCAGAACAAATGAGCAGACACCATATTCGTGACGAAACAACGAGGGAGGCAGTTCTCTCCAATTATGTTTAATGTGATTCCTGTGATATCCCAGTGGAGCTTTTTCTAGAATATTCAGAGTAGGTTCTGAAGTTTGACCAATTGTGTATGTAAAAATAGGCAAAAATAAAATAAAAAGCATGATAGCAGATGTCCCATATTTCTGAATTGTATGCAATTTAGAGAACTAGGATGTTTTCTTATAAAATAAGGATCTTTAAACACTGGAAATTATTATCTACTCTTTTCTATTTTTAAAAAAGTGGTTAAAATAAAATTAAATATTGAAAGAAAAAAGGGACTAAGATAAAAGCAAAGGGTAAGTTACTCACCCTTTTCTAGCTAAGAAAAAAAAAGGCCTATAAGTCTGTCTACTAACAAAATTCAAAATTAAAGGATATCCAGTGGTACTTATCATTCAGTGTAGATGCCTAATTGCCTCTGGAGAGCTGATTTAAAGAAAAGTTTTAAATACTTTACATGCCAATCAGCTTAGGAAAGAGTCATCAACTAAACACTAAAACCAAAGACTTACAAGAATTTTCTAAGAGTACTTTTGTTACAAAACCTCTAAGCTCTAAAAAAGAAAAAGAAAAACCTTTATCTTTGTGACTCTCAGGTACTGTCGGTTATATATCTGACAGCAGTTCTCGAGGCCACATATTTACAAGTCTTTAAAAGCTGCAAGGTCTTAGGCTGAGATCCAAGCACCTTTTGTGTGGATGAATCTAATTAGTCTGTTTAGTTGTAATATCATCAGTGCCTTAGTTGGATATTTTTGTTCTTTGGATGCTCTTTGATATCTCTTATGCTTTCTGAAATTTTAGTGTATTATCTTAAGCTAGATGTGTGTTATATTTTTACTAACATACTATAGTCAGTATGTTTACAGTAATACCAATGCAGAAAATTATTCCCACAACAATTTATAAGTCAGTAGCTACTCCCAGTTGAATAAGATTCTATATTATCTTAGTTATTATTAAAATTCATACTTCTGTAATCCCAGCACTTTGGGTGGCCGAGGTGAGTGGATTGCCTGAGCCTGGGGGTTTGAGACCAGCCGTGGCAACTTGGCGAGACCTCATCTCCACAATAAAAATCAAAAAATTAGCCGGGCGTGGTAGCGCGCACCTGTAGTTCTGGCACTCGGAAGGCTGAGGCAGAAGGATCGTGGGAGCCCAGCAGGCAGACACTGGGGTGGCCGTGAGTGTGCCGCTGCACTCCAGCCTGGGTGACGACAGAGTGAGATTCCCACTCAAAAAAAAAAAAGAAAAAGAAAAAAAATTCATATCTTGGGAGACTGTGACTGGGCTCTTTCTAATAGTTAACATTCACCTCGGACAAAGACAAACTTGCTGTTGTCCAAATATAATCACTTTTTTTCTAGAAGACTAGGCAGCTTAGGCAGATTCTTAACCTTGAATGAGAAAAATTCTTTTTACTTCCTGAGAACATTATTCTGTCGACATAGATAATAAAATATCACTTAGCGAAGTATTCACATAATTAGGTTGTAGAGTGCTTATAATTGAAGACTGAGTTTTTAATTTAAGTAATTGCATCAATTTCTAATACAAAAAGTGGGTTTGGAAATCACCTGAGTGTATTCACCATTTGAGAAAATATTTATCGGAGTCCCTATTCTACACTAGTATAGTGTCTTGGTGAAGATTGCAGCCTGAAATACTAAGATCTTGGGAAATCTACAGCCTTACTATAAAGTGTGTGTGTGTGTGTGTGTGTGTGTGTGTGTGTGTGTGTTCAGAGTAAGCTGGTCTGTGTGTGATAAGGCTTTGGGATACTGCCTTTCACTTGTAGAGTCTGAGATTAGGGTAACTTCTGTTAGTGCTGAGAGTCACAGTGAATTAGACAATTCAACTGGCCACAACCTAACTTATAGAGACCTGTCTCACAAAGACCTGTTAATTTGGAGAGGCAAATTAATCCACTCTAACCCAATTCTTTATTAAGTTGAAGAAATTGGGTATATACACACATACACACACACAAACACATTTGGGTTGTATTTAATTAGCCTTAATCTTAATCTTAAGGCTAATCATATGAAAGAACAGTTTCCTTGGCAGTTTCACAATCTTCCTGCCTTGGATATTGTTTCTGCTTCTTTCCAGATATATAACATAAACGTACCTTTGATCTCCATATTCTTCGAGTAAACTGGAAACACAGGACCCCTAAGGAAGTACGAGAGAAGGAAGCAGAATTAGACTGTCAAAAGTCTACCCTTGGCAGTGAGAGTTCTTCTATGGAAAACCATGTGTCTGTACTGTTAACTTGATCTGTCCTGCCCTGATCCTGTTTCCGGTGGGAGCCCCGTGAGTTCTTCCCCTTCGGGACTGCCCTCAAAGCCCACTCGGCTGAGTACAACAAAGATAGGAATGCCACCTGCATCTTTGCAATGGAAAACGGGTCTCCCTATACCTTCACTGGGCAGGACCTGGCTGTGGGAACCCAGGTTTCGGTGCATGCTTTTCATGATTCCTTGGATAAGCACTGAGAAGGTACTCATGAGTCCTGGTTAGTCCAGAGCCCAGGGTCCTCCTTTTATGAACTCACTCCCCTCAACAAGCCGGTCAACTCTTACCCCATAGACACAGTGTTTCATTCCCACTGCCTTCCCTAAAGTTTTGCCTCACATTGGGTAGTTTGAGGCCATTGGCGTGGCAGACCCCAGTATTTAGGGTTTTCACAAGAGAAGGAGGCCATCAGCCCCCTTCCCTACAGATTTGAAGCAGGCACAATGCCTACTGCTGCCTAGAGCTGCCACCTCTCCATTCCCCATTTTCCTCCCCTTGTGTGTCTTCTACATGACTGATAAATAAGTCATTGTTATTTTTCCTTTTATAGAAGAGCTAATAATTGTATTATATAAATCGACTATCAGAAAATCTGAATGTAATCTTAGACCGTATCTCCAAAATTAGAGAGGTTCTATTCCTGTTTTACTTGGTGATGTTCAAAACTTCCTTTAGAATATTGGGGTCTTTGAACATAATTATAAGTTAAACATAGCTCAAAGAGGAATATAGACAAACTGGCAACCCCTCAGAGGGGAACAGCTAGGACATCGAACAACTAAAACCATTCTATGTGAAAAATGGTCAGAGCTAAATATTGACCAGGAAAAGAGATGCCTGAGGGGATATAAGTTTTTCTTCAGTGTTTGAGAATTTATCTTGTGGGGGAGATATCAAAATCGATCCATCTGTACCCCTAGAGATGGAACTTACAGGAACTGAAATATTTCTACTTAACAAAGGAAGAGATGTCTTTGTTAATCCAAAGATGGTCTGGGCTACATAGGGAAGTGGCTCTCAATACTTTCCGTCTTTAAGCTCAGTGCCCCATACATAACCAGACAAGCCAAACTCAGTCATTCATCACACCCCTCTGTGTTTCTTCCTCACCCTCTGGATCCATCTCTATGTCTCCATCTGCACTTCATCATCCTTTCCCTGGAGAATGCAGTCAACCTCCTTCTCAGTCTCCTTGTGTCCCTCCAATCTGCAAAAAAGTGTGGGCTTCATTTACCAAATGCAAATATGAAATTTCCACCCACCTCCTTTAATGGCTTTCCATTGCTTGTAAAGTTAAAACCCAAAAGCATAATACATGCTCAGGCCTGCAGCCCTCCAGCTTCATTTTGCTCCAATTAACTCATTGCTGTATCACACTGACCTTCGTGTAGTCCCTGGGTAAAGTATCTTGCTTTCTTACTCTTCACATAAAATTCCTTCTACCTGGAATCTCTACTTGCTGCCCCATTTCCCTGGCCAATCATTGATACTGACAGTTAGAAATTCAACTCCCCACCCTTCAAAACAGCAATGGTGAAGACTCCTATAACACACTCTCAAGCAATCATAATGGTTAGCTTATTAACACTTCCCTCACACTGCAGTGTTCTTTTCTGTTACTATTAATTCCTGTCTCCCATGTCATACAATCAGCTGCATGAAGGCACACATTGATGCACAGTGGGAGTCCAACTGTATTTACTAATTTTTTTTTTTTTTTTTTAGTTGGAGTCTCACTCTGTTGCCCAGACTGGAATGCAGTGGCCGCTCCCGGCCACCGCAGCCTCGACCTGCTGGGGCTCCGGCGATCCTTCCGCCTCAACCTGAGTGGGTGCATTTTTAAAGGCTCCATGGGTTTCATAGGAATCTAGATGATTACCTGGAGGGGGCAGCAAAAAAGTATCCAGTTGGCTAGAGCATATGGTTTGTAAGGTCCCTCGCAATTCGGAGAACCTGTGTGTTTTGTGTATTTGACTCTGATTTTTTTCATGACCATTATTCTTTTATTTATTATTCAGGGTCTACAAAACTACCTGTTAATTATACTTGCATTTTGCATCATCTTGACTGGAGCATTATGTACTGCTTTTTCTAAAGTCTAATAGTCATCAGACCAGCTGGTGGCAGCAGCAGTTAAGAGAACGCCTCCACTGGACACACAAGCATGTATGCTGAGAAAAGAGTTCATGTTCTTACAACCAATGGATCTCTACCACTCTTGGAGTGAGTAAATTTGTGTGTGTGTGTGTGTGTGTGTGTGTGTGTGTGTGTGTGTGTGTGTATTTTTTTTCCTGCCATCAATGTGAGAATAAAAGAAAACTGAGTTTCAGTCAAGTATGAAAAGTTCTTCTGATGAACTGTTTATGAAGGTAGGACTTTACTGAATAACTAAAATGTCTACATTAGCATAACATTACATCCAAGGGTGCTGTTTTTTAACCACAATATGAAACCACTAGTGTTGACTAATCTAGAAAACAGTGAGGAGTTTCTACTTCATACTGTCGGAGATCTATGTCCATCTTTGCTGAAAATGCTTTTGATTATCTCAAAAAAAAAAAATACATCCTCAGAAAACAAAATTTTTTTCCATCAATGAGAACATGTGCATTTTATAATACATACATATACAAATACAAATACATAAATACACAAATATGTATGTACTGTTCCATATATGGGGGAAATTCTGGAGTCAATAAAGTGAGGGTCTAGCATATCAGTGATAATTTAAAGGGACCAACTCTTTTGAATGTATAATTATTTTTTTCTGAAATATACTTTCTAAAATCCTTTTTCATGGAGGTTTTCCTGTTTCTTCCTGTTGTGGCTGGCGGATTCCAGTGGACAAAAGAAAATGACAGACATGCTAGCTTTCTTTAAGAAAACTAAAATTAAGCCAAGAGTGATAGCATGTGCCCGTAGTTCCAGCTGTGGGGGAGACTGAGGCAGGAGGATTGCTTGAGCCCAGAAGTCCTCCAGCCTAGACAACATAGTGAGACCCTGTCTCTAGAAAATAATAATAATTTTTTAAATGAAAAGAAAACTGATATGGGACTGCCAGTACAGTGTTTATTACAGTGGTTTTTTTAAACCTCAAAAGAGTCGGGCTCGGTGTGGCTCAGCCTGTAATCCTGCGCCTTTGGGAGGCTGAGGTGAGTGGATTGTCTAAGCCTGCGGGTTCGAGACCCGCCTGGGCAGCGAGACCTCATCTCTACAATAAATCAAAAAATCAGCCAGGCGTGGTAGCGCATGCCTGTAATTCCGGCTACTTGGAAGGCTGAGGCAGAAGGATTGCCGGAGCCCAGCAGGTTGAGGCTGCAGTGGCCGGGGGCAGCCACTGCACTCCAGTCAGGGCGACAGAGTGAGACTCCAACTCAAAAAAAAAAAAAAAAAAACCTCAAAAGAATAGAACTTCTATTCAAACGTGAATTTTACCCATTCCCACAAGATAGTACTGTACATGACTTTGTTATGCAAGAGGAATAAAACAGCATTTTACTGAAGTGCAGGGACTCTGAAGCCAACCTCCCTGGGTTTCAATCCCTTCTCTGCTTCATTTTATTTGTATGACTTTAGACAGGTTCCTAAAACCCCTATATCAGATTCGTCATCTCTAAAGTAGCATTAATGACAGTACTTGTTTCACATGTTTATTGTGTGGTTGAAATTATTTAAAATCTGTCCAGGCATGGTGACTCACACCCGCAATCCCAGCAGTTTGGGAGACCAAGGTAAGAGGACTGCCTGAACCCAGGATCCGAGACCAGCCTGAACAGCACAGTGAGACCTCATTACATAAATTTTTTAAAAAATTAGCCAGGCATGGTGGCGCACATGCCTGTAGTCCCAGCTACGTGGTAGGCCGAGGCAGAAAGATTGCTTGAGCCCTGCAGGTCGAGGCTACAGTAGGACTGCACTCCAGTTAGGGCAACAGAGTGAGACTTAAAAAAAATTTTTTTAAGAAAATAAAATATTTTGAGAAAAAAAATTATTTAAAAATCTGCAAAGCATATTCACAAGTGTCTGGTACTTGACAAACACTATGTGATTGTTAACTATTATTACTATATGTTGTTGTTGTTTTTGAAAGTGTCTGTAGATTGGAGAATACCATGTAAGAAGTACTATCCTCACCACCTTCCCATCCAAACAATGACTTATTACTCCATTTAAATACTATTTAAAAATGATACTGGAGCTTCTGTTTGACTATTCAACTGCTAATACAAATAAATATTTGATTGTAACTTCTTATACTCATTTTAATTTTAACCTGAAATGTTATTAAATTATGCTGATGAACCCTGAATAAATTAACATGATACAAAAGCTATTTTTCTCATTTAAATATATTTTAGATTTTATATTGCATAGCTCTTAATTACTTTTTAGTTGAGATTTCTCATTTAATGCATAATTTTAAATGTGAAGAAAAGTAATTGCAGAAGAAAAAAATGAATAAACAGTCTTATTACCACTATACACTTCCTGCTACCAGACAAGCTTTTACAAAATGATTACCAACCACCATGTTATTTAGAAGTTAGACTAACTAAGCAGTTGCAAAATTTCCCTTTTGTTTCCTTACTTTAGGAAGTGAATGTTTAACTCTCTTAAGGTTTCAAGGTTGTATTTTCCCTCGAATAGTATGGACAAATTCTTGTGTTTAATTTTTTTTGGCTTGGCTTGCTGTCTCACCAGGTCTGAAATGGCAACCTTATCTGTGCTAAAGAGATCCTGCCATCTTGTGTACGAAGATGGCACTGCATTCAATAGAAGTATCAGTCCAATAAGACTGACAGATTATGGGAATTTTTACTGTGGGAACAGAAAATCCTGATGAATTTTAAAGGATTAATAGTACAAACCGGGCTCGGTGGCTCAGCCTGTAATCCCGCGCATTTGGGAGGCTGAGGTGAGTGG